CAATGTTGATGAGGATGGCCAGTGGGATGACCAGGGCTCCCACAGCCACGTCAGCCACGGCCAGTGACACGATGAAGCAGAAGGTGGCGTCTCGCAATGCCTGGTTCACCTTCACAGCCCAAATGACCAGGACATTGCCAGGCACGGAGACCAGGGCGATGAGCACCTCGATGCCGATGTAGGCGGCCTGGAAGGCCGAGATGGAGGGCGGCATGCTGGGCACAGGCTGGGCACATCAGCAGACAGGCACTGGGGGGGCACGCAGCAGGTACCTGTGGTCAGGGAGGCCTGGGTGGAGGGCCAGCCCGGGAAGAGGAGGGGAACCCTCCACACCATGCACTGCGCTCTGGCTGCCCCACTGGGCACTGCCAGTGCCTTTCCTGGGTCCGTGGGGTTACCCAGCTCTTCCTCTCCCTCTTCCTAATCTTTCCCTCCCTACTCATCCCCATAGGTTCCATTCAGCAACTTAAAATAGCAGCACTCACTGCCTGGGCTGTTATCAGGTGTGAGGCAGCTCCCAGCACACACACACTCTCACACACAACACACTCACACACACTCACACACACATACACACTCACACTCACTCCACAAGGGTCCCCATACCCACAGAGCACCATGCAAGGAGCTCACCATCCCGCCCGCTGGCCAGCAGAGGGTCCAGGGGCCCTCTGCAAGGGGCCCAAACTTGCAAGCTCTGGAAGCCCGGTGTTCCAGGGCTGCTCCGGGCAGGGATGGGCTCTGGGCACAGGCAGCTCACCGCCCTCCAGGCTCCCGCCGCAGCTCTCCCAGCCCGGCCTTTCAAGCAATCACATGGTGCGGCGGAGGCTCTGCCCCGGACGCTTTTAAAGAGGTAGTGCTCCTGTTTCGCACCTGGGGCCAGAGCGGCAGGCGTGAGTCTGGGGAGCTGAGGCCCGGACAAGGCCAGTGAGTGGGCTCCCCAACCAGCTGCGCACACCGCACACCTGCCCTGCGCCCACCCACCTGAGACACGGCTGGCGCTCGGCTCTGAGCGGTCCCCTGGACCCGCTCCAGTTCTCCTCGGACCCCTGCCCACCACCTGCCCCAAGGGGGCCATTCCAAGCGCCTTGTTGCGCCCTCTCTGGCATCCCGCTGGGACGCGCCGGGGCGCGCTGAGGCACAGACTCACCCAAGGTCACCAATGCCGGAGCAGCTGTCGGCCACCTGAGCTGGTCTGTCCCAGCGCCCCCACGCCCTGACAGTCCCCCGCGCCTCCGGCAGCCTACCGCTATGTGCTGGCCGGGAGAAGCCAGAGCCGGACCACCGGCGTCCAGGGAGGTGGTGGCGGCTGGCGGGGACTGGATTCGGGCGCCGGCGCCTCGGTCGCCCCCGGCGCGGGAGCTGAGTGACAATCGGGCTCCGCACCCCGGGAGGGGCGGGGGCGGCGGCGGCGGCGGCGGCACCCGCGGGCCCCTCCCTCCTCGCCCTCCGTCTCCTCCCCCACCCCCTCCTCCGAACAAAGGAAGTGATTCTGAGTGCGAAAAGCTGGGAAAATGTGAGCTTTTCCAAGAGTCTGGTGTGTGAATCCAGCCCCGCGACTGCACCGCGGCGCAGCCTCGGCGTGTCCACTCCCCGCCTCGCACTTCGGCGCCGCAGCTGGGAGCCCCGACCCCAGCCCCGGCCGCGGCCTCGGGGTAGCTGTTCCTCTGCAGGGCCCCACGGAGCCCGGCTCGCAGACTTCTTCCGAGACCCGCGCTCCCCAGTGACCCAATGCATGCACACTGCCGGGCACTCACAGCCTTGGGCGCGCGTTCCTTTGCAGGCGCCGTCCTGAGTCATCCCATCCTTCCTTGCCCGCCTCTTAGTCGACCAGCCCCTTCCAAGCTGCAGGTGAGGGCGTGGAGACTCAGGACCTTCCGTGACCCACTTCCTGAGGTCACCGAGATCCCCACCCCTACTCCGCGCCCCCCACCCAGCCAAGCTCCTAAGCCGTGGGGTATCTTGTGACTCTTGCATATTACGAACAGGCAGACCAAACTGAGAAAGGGATTTCCAACTTGAAGGCTGCAAGGACCCACCGACGGGGCTTGCCGCTGCGGGGCCTCCTCTGGGCGGTCCAGGGGCACTGACCAATACCTTCTTGCTCAACAAGGGGGCCTGCAGACCCCAAGCTACCAAAGCCCTGACTGGGGGCACTGGAAAAGGATTGGGGGGAGTCCAGTAGGGGGGCACCCAGCCTCGTGGGACTCCGCCCCCTAGCTAAACCTCAGGATGCTGGGCGAGGGCTTCGGCCCTAGGGGGATCTGTGTCCAACCACAGCGGGGAGCAGGGCGGTGGAAGAGGGAGAGGGCGGCCGAGTGTTCCGCCCACGGAGGTGGAGGAAAAGGCTTGGCATTTCTGCGGGAGCCAGGAGGCGCCCAGGGAAACTGGGCAGCGCGGGCTTTCCACCCCCCTTCCGCTCCGAGCTGCTGCTACCGACTTCCTCAAGGCTCCGCAGTTTCCCTGCCCTCTGCCTACCCCCTCCCCCACCAATGCACAAACGCAGACTTCGCAGTCGCACCGACACCACCATCACCCACCCCCCGACTCAGGGCCCTTTTCTTAGCTCCAGCCCGTTTCTACCCAAGCCTTGATCTCTTCCTTTTCCCTTCAGTCTCTAGCCTGTGGCACCCTGTCAGCACACAGGGGGCCAGCATGAGTGGTGGGCGTCCCCCTTTCCAGCCTCAGCTGCATCCTCGGCTCGGGTATCTTATACCTGAGCCCCCTAATACACACATGCACATATCTGTGCATATGTGCACATTTGCACGTACAATGCACCCATGCAAAGACATATATGTAGTACATACACATGCAGAAATGCACACGTACACACACACACACAGAGGCTGTCCCACCACAAGCTGTTGCCCGGCCAGCATGCATTTGTGTAACACTTGTAGGTGATTTGTCTGCTCCTTAATCCTGAGAAAAACAAGTAAAACTCTTTGTTAGCCACCTCACCCCAGCCCTGCTTCCCTCCTTCCTAGGTGCCAGTTCCCAGCCCAGGCCTGTTTGGAAGCTGACCTGGCTAGGCAGAGTCCCTCCCAAAGGCTGCTCTGAATAAGCCCTGGCTGGAGGAGGTGTCTGACCTGGTGCCAGGGTCTTGTACTATGGTGGTGCAAGAAGCACCTGTCAGACACTCAGAAGGGCTGAAAGCTTCCTACACCGCCACTCCCTGGCCTTGTGGTTCCAGGCACATCACTTCTCTCCTGGCCTCAGTGTGGCCATCAGCAATGTCCATCACCCACTTGGGGATGGGACAGAAAGCTGAGATGTGCCGGAGTCCAGCTCCAGCTGAGTTCGGAACTCGAGAAGGGCGCGTGGATGAGGCGTAAAGAGGAAAGAAAGAGACGGACCACTAGGACTTCATGATCATAATGGACTACGCACAAAAGCTGTCCACTTTATTTATACAAAATCAGTCAAACTCTGGCTCAGACTTTTTACGTCACAGTCAAGTGGGTGTTTCTAAAGACAACTCTGCCATAGTATTACATAGAAGTTCCTGCTACAATTCTTATCCTACAATTCAATCTTGTATCACAAAGAAAAGGGGAACCTAAAGATCAAGGAAAGAATGAAAGCCTAAACACAGGTCCCTTGATTAGCATAGGTTCAATGGGGACAGCCAAGACAGTAGGAATAATAAAGGGCCCTTCTGCAAGACATTGACCTCCAAGCTCAGGCTGAGCAAAAGTCCAGCCTCGCAGTAGCAAATGCCAGGATGGATTAGAATTCTTCTGCAGTGTAGTCTGGTGTCCACGCAAAAGAAGGTGGCGATGCATTCAGGTGGTTGTAGTGACATCTGCTGAGCGCTCCCTGCCGGTCAGCGGGAAAGTCCTTGCGGCCCTGCCTGCAATGGAACAACACTCTTCACCCCTTCATGTCCCCCACATCTACTGCACGGACCCCAACAGAGATGGAGGGGCGGGTGGGGCCTTCTCTGCTGAAAACTGTCTGATTCCCTGGTGTCTCCTCCCAGCACCCCCAACCCAGGGTCAGGCAGAAGGGCTGAGAATGTGTCAGTGGAGCGAGTCAAGAGTACAAGCAGGTCTGGGGTCAATATGGGTCAGGGCTGTGTGGACAGTCATCCAGGCAGAGCCAGAGCACCTGGTATTTACATGGAGCCAAAAACCCCAGGCTTCATGGCAGTGGTGCCCAGGACTCCGGCCTCGGACACCCTGTCCACTCTGCAGCTACGGGAGCCTCCACCCACACCACTGCCTGCATCTCCTTGTCTGTGTGAGGGAGTCAGAATGGCCTGCTGAGAGAATGCCATGGGCTGCCTGGCCACAGGGTGGACAGTGTCTGGCGGGAGTGCTTTGTCAAAGGCAAGTCAGCAGCACCAGCTGGCCAGGAGTGGAAAGGGAAGGAGAATGGGAAAGAAGGATCTGCTCTGTGCAGCCAGCCAGGCCAGAATCACAGGAAACCCCAGACTCCCAAGGAGTCACCCGCTCTCCGGGAGCCACCCAAAGTCTAGTCTGCAGAGGACTCAAGGGACAAGGTCAGGCCACAACAGCATGAAGACCTTCAGGGCTCAGCCTTCACCCACGTCTCTGCTTCTCCTCTGGCTGTTTCTTTCCTTCAGTCTCACAGCCTGGGGGTGCTCCTGGGGGAGGTGTACCCTGCCGAGCAGCCTTGCTCTTCTTCCAGGAGCTTTGCCCACTGGGAATTGGACTTGACTCCCGGGACAGGAAAGGCTGTACAGTCCTTGGAGCTCTAGGAAGGAAGGCAGGAGCGTGGGGTGTCATGGCTTGGCTCAGACCCCAGGGGCAGGGGCAACAGAGCGTCAAGGGGCTTTTAGGGTTTCCAGCAGGTACGAAGACACTTTGGTCCCTGATTTGCTTTGTCTGCACTGCCCAGGGGTCTGTGTGGGGCAGGACGGCTGGAGCTGAGCAGCAGTTACAGCACAGCTTTCTTTCTTTCTTTCTTTCTTTCTTTCTTTCTTTCTTTCTTTCTTTCTTTCTTTCTTTCTTTCTTTCTTTCTTTTTTTCTTTCTTAATATGGAATGCTTCATGAATCTGTGCGTCATCCTTGCACTTGGGCCATGCTAATCTTCTCTGTATCCTTCCAATTTTAGTATATGTGCTGACGAAGGGAGCACTGCTTTCTAAATAATGGAGAGGCCTCTGGCGCTTCCTCCAAGGCCCCCTTGCACCCCAGCAGCCTGTCTGGCCCTGCCTCCAGGGTCCTCTTCATCCTGGGCCCTGAGGTTTGCAGTGAGGGACTCTCCACCTTCCTCCTAAGAGCCTCAGCACCCACTGGGAGGGCCCCCAGAGGCGCTTGTACAGGTGAGAGGGACATGGGATCCCTGAGGCCATTTAGTCCACATTCCTGCATACAGAGAGGAGTTGCTCCTAGCCGTGGAGGCACGGCAAGCGCAATCATTGCTCTGTGCAATGAATCCACTCAGCACGTGTTTGTACAGCCCCTTCTGTGTGTCAGGTAAGTGACCTGAGCATGCGGCACACCAGTAAGGAGGGCTCTCACCAGGTAGGGACCACAGGCGCAAAGGACTCCACTACCCACGAGGAGCAGGACATCCCCTGGCCACCTGCGTGTGCCTCCTCCAAGCTGACCATTAGCAGGCATGGCAAAGAGCCAAGGTCCCATCTTCAACAATGCTTTTTTTTTTTTTTTAAAGATTGATTTATTTTTATTGGGAAGTCAGATATACAGAGAGGAGGACAGACAGAGAGGAAGATCTTCTATCTGATAATTCACTCCCCAAGTGACCACAACAGGCCGGTGCTGTGCCGATCCGAAGCCAGGAGCTCTCCGGGTCTCCCACACAGGTGCAGGGTCCCAAGGCTTTGGGCCATCCTCAACTGCTTTTCCAGGCCACAAGCAGGGAGCTGGATGGGAAGCAGGGCTGCTGGGATTAGAACTGGGGCCCATATGGGATCCCACAACGTTCAAGGCGAGGATTTTAGCCACTAGGCTAGGGATCCAGGTCCCAAGCTTTTTTTTTTTTTTTCCTTTATTTACTTAGTTTGTTGGAGAGAGAGAGATCTCCCATGTGCTGGTTTACTCCCAAGAGACCTGCAACAGCTTTGGCTGAGCCACACAGAAGCCAGAAGCCAGGAACTCAGTCCTGGTCCCCCATGGGGATGAGGGGGACCCCAGTACTTGGGCTGTCACCTGCTGCCTCCCAGTGTGTGCACTGACAGAGCTGGAGCAGCGCATGGGACTGGGACTTGCACCCTGGCTTCATGACAGAGGATGCATGGGGTTCTGTCCTGAGCGGTGGCTTCACGGCCAGGCCACCTGTCCCCCTGTCCTGCAGGGGACACTCAGCAGGGAGTCTGGGGCCTCTCAGGCTGGGATGCAGGAGCTGGGGCCACCCCTGTTCTGAACAGAGCAGCTCTGTGTTCGCTTATATATATCACTTAATGCATTTCTGGTGTAAGACTTTACCTGAATGTAAAACTTTATGAAACTCCATGGTTTAAAAGAAAATTTAGTATGTGAGCTTCAGCTCAACCTCTCCATGTACACACAGGGAAACTGACACACAAAGAGGGATGGAATTTATCCAAACCCACTCCTGAGTCAGGTCTGGAGCCTGGAAGCTGCCCCGACCCTGCTGACCACCTGCTGACCCCTCCTCCAGCCCTGTACTGGGAATCCTCAGGACCAGCTGCTAAGTTCAGAACCTGGAGAGTTCCTGGCTCACAGGAGTGGGGCCAGCCACAAGTAGACAGATCTTTACATACTGATAACAGCCCAATAGCTGCCACCTTGCCGAGGATTCCCACAGGGAGCAGCCCACAGAATGCTCGATCCACACCTAACAGGGTCAAAACAGGTATTACTGGGCCTCCGGTCACAGACGAGGTAGCTTAGGCTGAAGGTAGTTCAAGGGAAGCCATGAGGGGCAGGTGTTTAGCCTGGTGATGGAGACCCTCACATCCATATCAGTCCCAGCCCTGCTCCTGGTTCCAGCTCCCTGCTAATGCACACCTTGGAAAGCAGCAGTGATGACACCTGGTTGGGTCCCTGCCATTCATGCAGGCTGACCTGGATTGGACTCCCAGTACCCAGCCAGCTTTGACCTGGCCCAGACCCGGCCCGTTGCTGACACTTGGAGAGTCAATCAGCAGATGGGCAATTTGGCTCTCTCCGTGTTGTTAAAATAAATATAACATATAATTAAATGCATTTTTTCAAAAACTGAAGGAAATAAGTTATTTATCTTTTTAAGAAAAACTGAGTCTGGCATTGTAATGCATAGATAACAGATTAATCCACCATCTGTGATGCCAACATCCCGGGTGGGAGCTGATTTGTATGTGCCAGCTGTTCCACTTCCAATCTTGTTCCCTGCTGATCCACGTGGGAAAGCAGTGGAAGATGACCCAAGTACCTATGTCCCTGCCAACCACATTGGCCCCTGACTATAAGCTTCAGCATAGCTCAACCCTAACTACTGTGGCCATTTGGGGAGTGACCCAGTAAATAGAAGAGTTCTCTCTCTCTCTCTCTTTCTGTCTCTCTCTGCATCTCCTTTGCCATAATTCTGCCTTTCAAATGAAAATGGAGGGTGCTGTGGTGCAACAGGATTCCTCATGGCTTGCAACACATGTGTCCCATATCACAGCCTGGTTCACATCCTGCCTGCATTTCTAGCACAGCTTCCTGCTAAGGCACAGCCTGGGAGGCAGCAGGCAATAGGCTAGGTACTTGGGTCCTGGCACCCATGTGGGAGAACCGGGTGCAGTTCCATGTTCCTGGTTTCAATCTGGCTGAGTCCCAGTTGTTGTGCACATTTGGGGAGTGAATAAGCAGTTCTCTCTCTCTCTCTCTCTATCTATCTCTCTGTTTCAAATAAATGAACAAATAAAACCTTACAAAGTGGAGGGGAAAGCGGCAGGAAGCCACATGGCAGAAGCTGACACTGGGATTCCAGCCACAGCTTCACCTGACCAAGCTGGGGCACAAGTCTCCCACGCAGGTATGTGTGAGACTTGGAGTTCCTGACCCAGTGCACTTGGAAGGCTACCTGGAGGGGAGGCACGCCTCATGCAGCCCCGTGCACCCACTCGCTTGTTCAACTGCTGGGAAGATGACGTTGTTCTGGGAGCTCACGGCTTAGGTGCCAGAGATTGAGGCAGGACGCCTACCCCACCCTGACTCAGCCAGTGCCCCAGGCGTGGGAGACATGGGAGTTCATTCAGCGGGTTGGCACAGGCGGGGTGCATTTTGGGAAAAAGCAACCCTCAGGCTGATGCTGGACAGAGACTAGATGTTTCAGAGAGAGCTGGTGTAGGGTGGAGGCAGATAAAGGGAACCAACACGTGAGCAGGTCAGGTCACACAGCACCACTGAGACTGGGAGTGCCAGGGTCTTAAAAGGATTGTAGAGGGACCTGGATTGTGGCACAGTGGATTGAGCCACCTGTGATGTTGGCATTCCCTACAAGCATCAGTTTGAGTCCCGGCCACTCCACTTCTGATTTAGCTCCCTGATAATGTGTCTGTGAAATGAGAGATGAGACCACTGAGGCAGAGGGTGAGTGAAGCAGCCAGAAGGAAGCCGGGCTGGAGGGAGGACAGGGGGTGGGCTGCTAGAGGCGCAGGTGAGGTGGAGGGAGGGCAGGAAATAGAGACTTCACAGCAGCCTCAGGGGCAGTGCTGGAGCTGGTGGAAAAAGGCTCAGAGGCTACAGCTGTAGACTGGCCTTCAGAAGCTTCTAGAAGGGAAGAGACCAAGGATGGGTACTTGGCTGCAGAAGGAGGTTCAAAAAGAGGTTGTTTTTACAGGAATGACCTGAGCACACGCACAGCCCTTAGCCCCAGCTAAGGGGTCTCTCCCCCAGGGGACCTGGGGCCATCCAGAACATCAGTTAAATGATCAACCTTCCCACAGTGGGTCTCTCAGCATCTCTGGCCTGGCCAGCTGAAGAAGCAACTCTGGCCAATCCACCTGTCACTACTTCCCCCCGTGGGAGACCTGGATGGGCTTGTAGGAGCTGGACTGTCCCGGCAACTCCATTCCACCCAGCCTTCCCCTCACCCGTTTCTGAGCCCCTCCTCCACTCCTCCGCTTCCCCTCCCATCACTGGACAGAAGGGGAAATTGAGGTTGGAAGAAGCTGTGACTCCTCCCAAGGTTGGTCAGGCTGGCCTCCAGGCTCCCCAGTGCCTCCCCTCTTCCCTCCCACCCATCGACCATTTTTCCAGCCCTCCAGAAAGAGGCCCACACTGCCCTCTGAACATCCCAACAGGGAGAGAGGGGTTAGGACGTGGGAGAGACAGAAGTCCACACTCACAGTAACCAAGAAGCAGAAATCACCCAACATTACCTGCTACAGCCACCAGATTAAATCTGAGACACTCTGCTAAAAAAAAAAAAAAAAGCAACAGCTTTTTGGAGATTTAATTTGCATATCAGAAAGTTCACCCATTTAAAGCCTGCCATGATTTGGAACACAGCATTTCCAGCACTGTGACAGCGTTGCCACTGTTCAGGTTTAGAATATTTCCATCCATGTTCCCCAAACGCCTTGCGTGTGTCAGAGTTATTGCCCTGTCCTCCCCCTGCCCCAGCCCTCAGCAGCCACTCCCCCACTGCCTGTCTCAATGGATTCGTCCATGGTGGGCATTTTGCATAAACAGAACCCTGTGCTACGCACTCCTGGCTTTCTTCCCTTAGGCATAATTCTCCCAGGCCCCTCGACCCTGTGCTCTGGGTCAATGCTGCCTTCCTTTTTAGGATGGAATAGCCGCTCCCACCCGCTGTGAGCGCCGTAGGGCTCATCCACCCTTGCGCTGGTGGAGATGTGAGGCTGTGATGGAAAACTCTACCCTGAGCATTCATGCACAAGACTTTGTGTGCATGTCTACTTTGATCGAGGAAGTTAGAGCTCAACTGAAGGACAAGCCGAGCCAGTGCCTGGCCCTTTCTACCAGCCACTCCTGTGTGGTCACACTGCCAGGAGGGGGAGCTATTATAATCTCTTCTCTTGAAGAAGGGGAAATTCATACTTACCTATTTGAAAGGCTGAGTGACAGAGGGAGAGATGGATCTTCCATCTGTTGGTTCACTCCCAAATGTCTTCAACAGCTGGAGCTGGGTCAGGCTGGAGCTGGGCTCTGCCACAGGGC